GAGTATCGTCGAGTTGAGAGCAACGCCTAGTCAAGCTATGGGCATCAGGGGTGTGTCAGCAGAGCGTTGAAGTGGCTTCACTCCGAGTCCTTTATCCTAACAACTTGTAGCTCGTTACATTAATGAGTTTGTTCACCCTCCGGGACTAGATCTCCTTCCAGAATCTCTGTCCTCGGACCGGCAAAGCCGAGGAAATTACCTTCAGCTGAGTTAACAGTAACGGAACACTGAACACTCTTCTTGGAGACAAGTTTCGTATCTAGTATCTAATGCCTATAAGTTGACACTCTCGCTACCCATTTTCGAGCTAATTAATCAAAGAACAAAGATTTCCAGTAGAATTAAAGTCTAATAAGACTAAATGATTAAGTAAAGCTGTAGGGGACGTGTTTAAAGAATCGTATAATCCTTAATTTTCTTCTTTAAGGTAAATCGTCGTGAATTACTCGGTCGCCTTCATCGAGTCTTTCATAAATTTTAATTTTAAATCTCGAGAATCGAATCCAATATATAAACAATAGCCAAAAATATCTCTAAATACGAAACGCATTCTATCTTTCCCTTTTGCCACTCGCTATCTAGGTGAGATTTCGACACGGCCTTACTTTCTTTATTCCACCATTTGGGATTTAATGGTAATCTAGGTCCACCATTGATAGCTGAAGATACTGGATCCTTCAGGTGTATCAGAGTGAAGTTCTAAAGACTGATACCACACGGTGTATTGATCTGAAGACGACTACACTCAAATTTCCACTTAAGTTGGTGGGTCGGCAGGAGTAAAGAATGGAAAAGATCGGACGAATTTTCCAACATCCTTCGGGCAAACCAATATAATTTACTGCCCTGTACTCTGTCAAAGTACTAAAATCGCATCATCTGATCCCGTCGGTACTCACTACCGAATTCAGCGAGTGATTCAGACCTACTTCCTGGGTTACAGTTCGTTTAAACAACTTGAAAGAAATGAAGAGAAGAAAGAAAAAAAAAAGACTCAAGAAGAATGTTCTGAACAATTTACCAAATATATATATATATATATATATATATAAAAGTAGTGGCTACTAAACCGAATTTCGGTTTAACTGTAAATTGATATACTGGAAATCTCTATTCCAGAATAGTAGCAAACTTTTTAGACTTTAATCTTTATCCTGGATATTGAAAAAATCAAATAGACTAAACTTTTGCCATTTCTCTACGAGATAAAATGAGAAATTCACTATTATATTATAAAAATTAAACGTATTTTTATTTTAAATAATTAAAATAATAATTTACAGCGTATTTAAGTTCTTGATACACATAAAAATTAGGCTTTAAAACAAGGATAATTTACCTATTAAATATCACAGTTTCCTATTAAAGTAGGCCTAGAACTATGTTTAATTTAGAAAAGAAAAAAATGGAATTTCATAATCCCGTTTTTAAGTCAAAGGAGACGAATAAGCTGCGATATTATCAAATAACACTAACAAGAATTGCCTACAGTCAAAAACAAACTTTAATACTCGAATTAGAAATCTCTCTAAATATCTAAATTAAAAAGATTTTTCGCAAATAAAGATTTGTAGATCCTAAATCCGAATCGATACAGTTCGTATTTAATCATTATTTAAGCGATAAGATAGCGATGCAATTATATGATGGCCAAACTTCAGATAGATGTAGTTAAGGATACGAATCTGCACCGAGGAAGACATTCGTGATAAGTCTAGGTTACACAGTCTATAATAATAATAAACACTGGGATGGCTTTCCAAAGTGTCTATAAACATTTGATACAATACTAATTTCTCTCAATGAAAAATACGTCACGTAACCATCCCACATTTTACATTACTAAATATTAAATACGTTAAAATTGAAGGTTTATACACAGTTTAAAAAATAATTTTCAAGCTAGCTTATGAATAAGTATTATTATTGTTATTATTATTATACATATATACAGATATATATATATATATATATTCAGCAGTCTGACTNAATAATTTTCAAGCTAGCTTATGAATAAGTATTATTATTATTATTATTTTTTTTTTTATTAAGAGAAAAATTCAACACGAATTTTTCATCTTTAATTGATGACAAATTTTTACACTTTGTCATTATGATTGGCTATTATTTTTTTTCTTTCTTTTTATTTTTTTATTTAAAGACTGTAATTCATATCGTTACAGAAACTAACCAATACATTAACCTTATAGTTAAGAGCATACATTTAAATCTCGTTGCCCATTAGTTCAATTAATTTTCGACATTATACGAATAATAGAGAATTTCTTGCGAGTTCTCTCCGCTCGTAATTAATAACCCAACGAAGCATTTAAGTTATTGTAATAGATCTCGTTCTCTGCCAACTTAATAATCTTAGGAACTATCCTAATTGGAGAGTGGGCGAAACTGCTTTGATATACACCTCTTAATGAGATATTTCGTAAAACTCGGGTAGAGTATTATAAACCAAAATTTCTAGCAAAATATTAATTAGCAAATATTTAATCGAACTACAGAACAAATAAATAGCACAGGTTAGCTTCACCCCTTCTATGAAATTCTCAATAACTTAATGTAGCCTAATAATTGGCAAGTAATTAAATTTATGTAAATGAAGCGAATATCTACTAACTTCTAATGGTTCTAACAGGGATGATAGAGTTTTATTAAGATGTTAAAACATTATTAAGAAACTATCGAATCACTACATTAAATGCCATTATGGCTAATTTAAGAATCAATCTAAGAGAATGAAAAAAAAACAAACCCATAAGAAGAAGATATCCAACTAATTAATTCTCGTTTGTCGAACATTTTCATTTATTAAGCTGTAACTATCAGTCTTTAACTCGACTAGAGTTAAAATTATCGGATATTTTACTTCCAAATTCATTCTAAATGCAATTACATAAAAATATTCCACTGATTACTTACAATTTTGAGTAATTTAAGTGAAAAATTCTCAAGGGTAACAAAACACGTCACCTACTCTCCATTAAAATTTTTCAATTTACACCTTTCCTATATATATATATTTATATAATTAAAGAATTAGAAATTATTCTTAAGTAATTCTGGTGGAAAAAAATTGCTAAGTAGATTACTGTTTGCACTTAGAATTTCATAGATTGTTGTGAATAAAGCTGACTTGTCTATGAAACAATCGCTTAACTAATTAAACAACGAAAGGTCAAGCGGATCGCTTATCATCCATATTAACATTCTACTTTCCTTTTAAAATAACATTGGAAATAATTCCCTCAAGTGTTTCGGTCGATCAATAAATCCTTGCGCTTCTAGTTTTAAATTTTTACTAGATAACTTACGGTGTTGATTGTTAATTAGACTTTCAATAAATCTAGTTAGTTCTTGCTACGAGGTCTTGACGCATAACAAAATTAATTCCATAATTATAATTATTGTATCAAAAGTTATTGATAACGGATAAAAATTTCCCCTTCGGAATAAGCTGGCGATAACAGTTTCCGTTTTATTCCATTTTCCTCTTAATTTATACGTCCAGTTCGTGTTATGTATTTAAAATTCTCGCCATCCTCTTATTGAGAAACACACTCTGACAAGTCTTTGGTGTCAGTGGATCTTATAAACTGCTTTCTGTCATATCAACCTGTCTTTAGAAAAGAAAATTCTCTCTATTCTGGGTAAGTTCCCACATTTTACATTACTAAATATTAAATACGTTAAAATTGAAGGTTTATACACAGTTTAAAAAATAATTTTCAAGCTAGCTTATGAATAAGTATTATTATTGTTATTATTATTATACATATATACAGATATATATATATATATATATTCAGCAGTCTGACTTCTGCTAACTGCTCCTTCTACCACTCTACAGATGCACTCTATCAGAAAGTCATTGATTCATCACAGATCCTTCTATCCTGATGAATTAATGATGACGGAATCTATGAATTCCATTTCCACTTATGAGATAGTATTTTCTTGCGTGGAATCGAACATTTTTCTCTTCCATCTACGCGACTTTTTACTATCATTACTTTCCTTAACTGTCATCTAAAGTGCACACGTGCAAATTCCCCTCCGCTAACTGGCAAGGATTAAAATTTCGCCTAGAGCAATACGGGTTTTTCAGGGGATTCGTGGCAAACTTTTTCCCCCCCAAAGTTAAATCGATACGTATCGAAGTGACAGTTAATAACAACATCCGGTTTGGGCGCGAAAACGGTAAGAGGAACGTCTGCCATCGGAGATTAATACACTAAGTCGCTAAATAATTAAATTGGTCGATGATTCGGCGCGACGATAGACCCTTAATTGCGCCAGACGGTGAGAAATCCCGCCAGATAGGTCCACGGTGAAGGAGAGCGAACGTCCTCTTCCCTTCTCCAGCGGCCGAAGAACCGAACCCTTAAGCCTAACGCGATCAAAGTTGCCAAAAAAAAGTACTCACCCAGACCAGCGGTGGGTTGCACCATGTCGACAAGGCCGTCCACTGCATCTCCTGTACAACGGGCATTCAAGTAGAACAGAAGGCCGCCCGATTTCAGACGGACAGTCACAAATACAAAGAGTATATTGTAATCTACGAAAGTACGAACGAATGTATATATATATATATATATATATATGTATGTATATATATATCTATTAGAAGTACCGTATATATATAAGGATGATATGTGTGGAGAGAGAGGTGTGTGACAGACGGAAAAATAGGTGTATGTACCGTGTGTGTGTATGCGAAAGAGAGAGAAAGAGAGAAAGAGAGAGAGAGAGAGAGAGAGAGACAGAGAGAGTGTGTGTGTTGTGTGCGACAGTTAGACAGGCCGAACGACTGACTGAGAGCAAGTCGGACGTCGATCCTACGGCGCCGACATGTGCGCGCGCGCGTGGTCCTAGGTGAAATCTAGCGCCAGATTCGAAATCAATCGCGCATCCAAAGAAACTCACCCTCTACTATTAACGCCCGTCAATCTTATTTATAAACCATTAATCAACCCATTTAAACTCACCAATGCCTGAGGAAACATTACGCCATCGATATCAGAAGATTTTCGTCTCTAAACTCGAACAACACGGCAGATTTATTCGCATTCGATTTACCGCAACCAAAAACGAGTCGGTAAACGCTGAAAACGAACTGGATGTAAAAATGAATGTGGAAATTTCGTATCGGGAAGGAGACAAGTTATTGCGCAGGCGCATTTTCCGCCGAATTCGTCGATGCCATGAGTTTCCGAGGGAAGACCAGTCTGGCGGCGGATCCGTTAATACCCCGACTTTGAATTATTGCGCGTGCGAGCTATGGCACCTACCATTTTTTTTTAAATATATTTTTTTATTCTTTAATACGCGACAAAAATCTAAAATATTCGGAAACTTTCGTGTTGGCAATTTCCGTTCCTTCGTAATGAAAATATAGATCGGGGCGCGATTGTTCTCCCCTTATTTATTTATTTTTTAAACGTTTCTGATGAAAGATGGATACGTAAAAACGCCGTTACTACTTTGGTTATATTTAAATAACCAATGAATTTATTCGAGTTTTTACAATGGATATAATATGAAGCATTCCGAGTATCAGCAGGATCCTTTTTTTTTTTTTTTTGGCCTGGAGGAAATTTTAGCCAAAGTCAGATCGATAGTAATCGCTGCCTAGGGGATGGGGGTTAAAGGGTGCGCAGCACGCAATCGGTGCGTTTCTCATCGGAACCACGGATAAGAACAGGTGGAGGGTAATTTACTGGTGGTCATGAGAGAATTTTTTTTTCTTTTTGAATCTACGGCGTATGATTTATGTTGAAGAATTTCGGGCGACGCGAAAAACGAATCCCTTAATTTGCCATAGACGACACTTGTTTCTTCCAAGCTAAGGTTTACTCTGGGACCTCCTAGGCCACAGGCTCCGTCTTTTTATACGTCATGAAAGGAAATTGAAAAGAAAGTGTGCGACACCCACTAATCAATAAAGTCGGCGAGAGTACTGCGATGACAGTTTTGCCACCTCCAGATATCAATTAAGTTCGCAATCAATCTTAATTGTATCCCAATTAAGGTGCATCCAAAGACTAGTGACGTCACTGGAAAGAGGAGAAAAATTTTTCGTCCCGTATCTCGAACGACGCGGACGGGGGGGAGAGAGAGTTAGAAGTGCGCGCGCGCGCGCATGAAAAAAGAACTAATGCGCGCTTGTTATAATCAAAATATAATTGTGCTGTATTATTTATGACGGAATGAAACCTTAACAATCTATCATATTCAGGCCTATTAAACTGCTTGTAAATGACGCCTACTCGTTCTCGTCATTACGCTACATGAAAGAATGCAGTCTGTTATTCAATATCTTGTCTACACGACATCGTGAGATACGCACGTTAATCGCGTGCCATTACATTAATTATTTTAAGCTTATTGAACCAACGAATTATGACAGGCTGAGTTTTAGGCCTGCGAAGTTCGGCTTAATATCTATGCGAAGATTGATGTACTTCTTAATGGATCGATCATTCGATATTCGCTCGACTGTAACGAATATCAGAATTTTATCAGAATAAACACCGTGAAATATTATTCTATATACCCGTTTCTATAAATACGCGATTGTTAAAGGGAGGAGGGAAGGTTCAATTACAACATCTCCACGAAAGGACTGAATAATTCGAACGAATTCAATAACCAATTCTGCAAGATGATCAATCATATTTAAGAACACGCATAAATTTCCATAGATCATCTCAGACAATAGAATAATGACTTTTCACAATCGTGAATATTGTTGCGGCCGTAAAAAATAATAGAAAAAAAGAGACTTCTGTATTTACATTTAAACATTTTAGATAATATTCTATTAAACGAATAGTTCAAGATAAAAAGATTCGGATTACTTTGTTTCATTTATAACTTTTTTTTTTGTTTTTAATCTTTGATTTCACACTCTACTACTTTCGAACCAAACCTTATTAACTCAGGTATGTAAATATTGATCGATATAAAAATGTTGTAAGATTAAAAAACCATAGAAAATAATTTCATTCGAAAACTGTTAATGTTTTCGTTTCGATTATAGGAAAAAAATTAATTATTTTTAATTTTTAAATGAATTTCACGAATATCTCGAATGACTGATTGTCAAAGCAATCATTCTGAAATGTAACTTAACTCCCCCTCAGAAAAATCCTTAATAATTATTTTAAAATATATATATATATATATATATATATATATATATTTCACGTAAATCTTATTAAGAATCTCATTTTGGCAATGGTAAATATGTTATTGCCAACACACACGTTGTAACACTTATCAAATCTTGGATGAGGAATTGAAAAATAATCGAAATAAATAATAAGTGTAGAAAAAAAAATGCGGATTTCTTTAATGACGATACTAAAAGTAACTTTATAAATTCGTTTCGGGGTAGAAAAAAAGACGTGGAGGGAGAAGGAAAAAGAAAAAAAAAATGTTTCAAGTTTAAGCAATGAAAAAGAAATTAGAAGATAAAACTGAAATATCGAGAATTTTCGGAACAATCACGAGATTTCTCATTTTTTATATTATACAAAAGAATCTTTGTTGTCGTCCTCCAAGAGTTAAGAAACCTTTACTTGTACTAAATAAATCAATATAGTTCTTTTCTTTTGTAAAAGATAAATACGGAAAAAGATTTACGATCACAAAACACAATTTAATAATGATTCCATAAATTATTAAATAAGTTGCTGAAAACAGGAGCAACGAACAATTATGATAGAATCAACTTCTTCAAATTCAATAACCGGTAATTACGTTTAACAATTACTTTTACCTATTCAACAACACTACATAAATATAGATAAATATTAATAGAACACCACTTAAAATCTATTAATTTCTGTTCGAGAATTTTTAAAAAAAAAAAAATTCCTCCAATTTTAATCTGAAAAAAAAGAGGAAACGTTTATTTAAAAATAACACCAAAAAAAAACACGGGGTGTTTTTTTTTCCTTAAAAACAACGTCGAGGTGTGGCCGAATAAGGTAATTTATGATTCGAAGAGTCGCATTTGTTTAAAACGAATAAAGAAAATTTACCATTTTCTTCTTGGTATAAATAAAAATCGATGATTTCAATTAAAATAAAACGCTTGGAATTTTATATAATAATTAAGAATTTACACCGTAAATAACCGTATAATTAATATATACAAAAGCTGGAAATTTACAGTATGCATTCGAATATAAATGCCACGTATTTAAAGTCGCCGTGTCCATAAGAAAATTTTCACTTTGATTTAAGATCCTATAAAATACTGTAAAGCTGTGTTACGAGTAAAAAAAAAAGCTGTAAAAGAAAATTCAAAATACGGATGCGTAAAAGAACAGAAACAACATTAAAATATATAACACTTTAGTGCACTAGATGGCGTGATGCTGTCCCTAATAAAGGCATAGTAGTGTGTGTGTGTGTGTTCGTGTGTGTGTCTGTATGTTGTTCTCGACTTTGCCTGTTTATGCGGCTACCCCGTCGAGAAATAATGATGTTAGACGTAGCTCGACATTTAAAATTACGATTAATAACGAAAAAATTTGATATCGTTAGATGAAAAATCCTCTTAGAAATACATTTTATCGATTTCTAGGCGCGTAGAATTTATAACGTAGTGAAAAAAAAAAAAGAAAAAAAACTTAACGATTTATAATACAGATCGACTTTTTGAAAGTTTCTACCCAGTTTTATACGCTTAAAAATATTTTAATAAACTTCCATCTTGTTCAGAATCTTACTTTCTTAAGTCGGCCATTAATACGACGAAAAATAAATTATAAAGAAATATGCGATTTTAACTATAAAATTAATTTAATAAAATAATTTATGCTCCGTATCTTTTTTTTTTTAAAAAAATTTATTGAAGGTAGTTAAAAATGACTCGCAGGCTATTTTTTTAATAAAATAAATTTATTATTATTTTTTTTTTCCACTCTTAAATAATGTGTTTTGAAAATTTTATTTTAAATAAAATGTCTCAAAAATTTAAAAAAAAAATGGAGAATAGCTCTTCTCTTCCTTACTTTTTTTTTAATTATTTTATATACAATATATATCTATAAATGCATTATTTTCCATAATTTATTTTACAGCAAGCTTCAAATATGTATAATGCATTAATACTTTACTTCATATAGACATAATTAACAGCTTTAAATAATAAAAAAAATTAGACTTTTCTTCAATCTCAAAGACATCATTCATCTCTTCTCAAAGACTTAGAAAAAAGGGGAGAAAACAGATATTTTTTTTTATTATTTTAAAATTATAAATTACTTTATTTTCACCTTACAATACACTCGGACTTTAAAGATCTCGATCGCTCCCTCCCCTTGTATTATTATTATTATTTTTTTTTTTTATTAAGAGAAAAATTCAACACGAATTTTTCATCTTTAATTGATGACAAATTTTTACACTTTGTCATTATGATTGGCTATTATTTTTTTTCTTTCTTTTTATTTTTTTATTTAAAGACTGTAATTCATATCGTTACAGAAACTAACCAATACATTAACCTTATAGTTAAGAGCATACATTTAAATCTCGTTGCCCATTAGTTCAATTAATTTTCGACATTATACGAATAATAGAGAATTTCTTGCGAGTTCTCTCCGCTCGTAATTAATAACCCAACGAAGCATTTAAGTTATTGTAATAGATCTCGTTCTCTGCCAACTTAATAATCTTAGGAACTATCCTAATTGGAGAGTGGGCGAAACTGCTTTGATATACACCTCTTAATGAGATATTTCGTAAAACTCGGGTAGAGTATTATAAACCAAAATTTCTAGCAAAATATTAATTAGCAAATATTTAATCGAACTACAGAACAAATAAATAGCACAGGTTAGCTTCACCCCTTCTATGAAATTCTCAATAACTTAATGTAGCCTAATAATTGGCAAGTAATTAAATTTATGTAAATGAAGCGAATATCTACTAACTTCTAATGGTTCTAACAGGGATGATAGAGTTTTATTAAGATGTTAAAACATTATTAAGAAACTATCGAATCACTACATTAAATGCCATTATGGCTAATTTAAGAATCAATCTAAGAGAATGAAAAAAAAACAAACCCATAAGAAGAAGATATCCAACTAATTAATTCTCGTTTGTCGAACATTTTCATTTATTAAGCTGTAACTATCAGTCTTTAACTCGACTAGAGTTAAAATTATCGGATATTTTACTTCCAAATTCATTCTAAATGCAATTACATAAAAATATTCCACTGATTACTTACAATTTTGAGTAATTTAAGTGAAAAATTCTCAAGGGTAACAAAACACGTCACC